ACTTACATTGCTTTATACTTTTGATATTTGAACTAATTGAAATGAATTACATAAAAATTAAATAATTCATTTTAAAGTGATAGATTAGGCAATTGGACACATTTTCAATTTGCATATATACATGAGAATATATATATATATATATATATATATATATATATATATATATATATATATATATATTTTAAAAAAGAGAAGGTAAGGACACCAACCAATCTGAATACAACATACCTCATCTATACCAATCTGGGATAGAGTAACTGGCAGCTAACAAATGGGTCAATTTACATAATCCTTCCTAGAGCGGACAATTGTGAGGTGCCATAGAAAATGATTTAAGCTATCTATGCTTTCCCCAGAAAATCATGAGAGTGTGGCTGTGGGACATAAGTGATAGGCTGCCTCTTTGTAATGCTTCTGGGAGTCCTCCCATCAGCCATATTTTAGGCCAGGTCTACATTATTTCCTCCTTAGAATTTGTTCATGTTTTTAGCAATGGACTTTTGTTGAATGTGTCTTTTTCACTGAATGGTAAAGCCTGAAACAGACCATTTCCCTCTTTAAAAATCAAAACAGGAATTTCTGAACTTTATATTATAAATTAATTATAATTAAATCACTACATGATTTGCATTATCATTTGTGTAGACAGATACTAGGTATTTCAGGAGAATGTAATTCAGTGGGTACCGTAACGGCCTTACTCTTAACTCCGGGAGAGGGGATTCCCCGCCCAGAGCAAGTTGCCCATGAATTTGATGAAACAGAATCTAGGCAAGGGCAAGAAGTCTGGAAGTGAAGTACTTATTCTCATGGCTCCGCCTCTTCTTGCTGGCACGAGTTGGGAGCCCCTCTCACAGGGCTCCCAGCTCCCAGCTCCCTCTCCAGCCTCACTACTCTGCCCCCTCACACACCAGGAGGAATTCTGTGCGTCATCCCTGGTGACCAGTGGGCACCTGACCAATTACATACCAGGAATGGAGGGGAGGAGAAAATGGGTGTTTTCTCTCCATCCCTACCCTGGATGGCAATCCTATGACTTGTCAGCCACTCTGCTCCCAGTGAAACATCCCATAGATGTGCAAACAGGATGCCTATTAAGGCCAGGCAGGAATCTTGGTCAGAAAGGTCCATTTTCTCCACACTTACTATACTTCTCATCTTTTTCCTACATCTATCTCACCGTTGGTGATACAATATTATGAAATACAGAATTGAACATAAAATGTGAAATAACTTTTCAACTTTGGATATTTAATATGAAAGTACACAGTCAAGATCTGACCTAAGGTTAGAAGTATAAATAGCTTCGAGTTGTCTCTTTCTTAAGAATGACTTTCTCATTTATTATCCAATTACTCACAAGTCATCTATGAATACTGTCTTCATGCTGGACACTATTCTAGGTGCTAACAATATAGAAGTGAACAAGACATATATTCCTGCTCTCACAGAAGATAAATTTTAATTGTGTGAGAAATGTATGAATATACATTAACATAAACATATATATATATATATATGTTTATATATACACAGAGGGAGAGGGAAGGAGAGGGACGAAGCGAGAGAGAGAGAGAAAGATCTCAACATGTGCTACGGTATGCACACATTTGAAACAGTTATATTAGAAAAGGAGGTAGCTCAGACCTTATGGCAATGGGAATCAGCATGTAAAATCAGTGAGAAGAATATTACAGGCAGCAAGAACATCTACTTCAAAAACCCTAAACGGATTTAATCAGAAGGGAAAAATAATTGAGTTGATTTTTTAGAAAGGTCACTGTTACTGCATATGGAGAATGAATTGCAGGGCTCAGTGTTAGGAGCAGATGAATGGCAAGAAGCCTGTTGCAGTATGCCATGTGAGAGAGAACAGTAGCTTGATTTACTGGTATTAGAGAATGTGATAACCCATGGACAGATCAAGAATACACTTTGAGGTTAGAATCTATAGTACACATTTATGAAATGTTTGTGAAAGATTTTTGACTTGATTAAGTTAGTAGAAAATAAGACATACACATTCATAGGCAGGCTGGCATACTGATTTAAAAAAAAGCACAGCACATTCTCTATGGCTAGTGTTCCTGGGCCTGAATTCTGGTTTACTGCTTATCACAGAATGTGGGATCTTGGACATGTTATTTAACCGTGTCTTACCTTGTGTGTTGGTTAACAAAGAAAGCCACAAAGTAATATAAAATCTATAATGCAAGTAGAATGGCACTGGCATATAGCGAACACTTTGTGATTGTACTTAAGTATGATTTATTTTGTATAATGAGATGAGCGTGATTGAGGACTGGGAACAGTTTTAGAGTAAAAATAGGTATTTCTCTTTCTGCCATTTTTTTTTAAATGACATTAGAACTCTATATGGTAATATGAAACAGGCACATGTATTTTCTAGTCTGGAGATTTAGGGAAAGGTCATAAGGAGATATTGGGAGTCATGGCATTTGAATCCAAATGACTGAATGAGGCAACTTAGCGAAGTCTATTCAGTTACACAAGAGCAGGGGACCCAGAGTCCTGGAGTGCTCCATAATACAGAGTTTGATCCAGAACGAGGAGTCAAACAGGAAGACAGAGGGAGCGGCCACTGTGGCAGCAGAAACCCTGAGGATGTGTCCGTGAAAGTGTTTAGAGAAGAGAGACTTGAATTCTGTGAGGGCTGCAGGGAAGTCAAAAAATAAAGGAACAGAGATGTAACTACTAGGATGAAACAGGGAGGTCACTGGTGACCTTGACAAGAACAGTCTCCTTGGATCCATGAGGGGGACACCTAACAGAGTCAGCTGAGAAGAGAACGCGAGGTGGAGAACTGGGAGTCTGTGACCAAAGGTAATGCTTCCAACATACGGGCTGTGGAAGGAAACAAGAAATGGACGAATACTGGGAGAGATTTACGTGGTCAAGCACGGATTGTGTTTTGTTAAAATAGGTGTAGCATAGCATGTTGGTGTCACAGGAGAGAAGGACACATGGACTGAAATTCATAGCAGAATAAGGAGGTAAGAGTAATAAGTACTTTGTAAATACTATCTAGAAGCAAAGCAGAGTATGAATGAGGATTTGGTAGGATGAAAATTTGGGTAGAAGAAAGAAACAGTGTAGGAAGAGATAGAAGGAAAGCTTGTCCGGTGAGCATAAACTGGGCTTCAAAGTTTGTATGTTTTTCACCAGTCATGTCCAGCTGTTCAGGTGGGGCACAGAGTGGGTGGATATTTAAATTTAACCAGAATAGGAATTTTTTAAGGAAAAACAGTACATTGAATAGGGGTGGCCAAGATATTAAGGGTAGCTTATATATATAAAACAAAGCTTATATTACATAATATAGACTTTAAGCTGGATAATGAGAAAACTAGAAGAAATTGAGAAAGTGAACAAGACATGGATTCAAGATTTCAATACAGTCAAAGAGTTCCTGAATTGGAAGTTTAGAGTAAGTAGGCACAGGAGATGAGAAGGGGTAATGGCATTCCTATGGGAAGTTTTTGGTATATTTAATTCATGGTACTCTCACACTCTTTTTATTTTTTTACACCATTAAAAAAGGAGAAATACAAACAAGGAAAATAAGAAAGAAAATACTGTTAAGTCCTTAAGCCCATCTTTCTTAAAAAGAAGTCTGTGGTAAAGGAAAACCCCGCAGAATTGAGCTGTTACCCTTTCTAAAATTTACAATGCTGATGGTAAATGGACACAAGATCTAACAATAAAAATTCTATTCATAGCAAAGTTAGCATTTCAAAGAGTTTTATGTTTTGCAGGGAAAAAATACTTAAATAATGTATGAGAATTCTTCTACTACTCCCCTCTCTTAATTTCACTTTCTACCAACTTCTGTGTTCTCCACTGCTACTGTTTGTTATTTTTAACTTAAACACACTGATTTCAAGTGTGGTTTTGCTGGGGCAAATTACATCCAAAGGGCCAGGTGCTTGGAGGTAAGAGCTGTATATAATAAGAGAAATCAGGGATTATGACTAGGATGAAGTGAGGGTGTGCTTTATTGAATGTAAGCTGGAAGTCAACTTGAGTAGTCCACTTGTATCATACTTTAAATATGAATGGAAAAACACAAAACTTCCAGGTACAATGTATTTTTGAATGTTATATCTTCTGATATTTCTTTACCATCTTTTCCCCTTCCTTTAGTCCTTGATATGTCCTTTTATTTAACTTAACCTCTTCTATATTTTAGTAAGCTGGGAAAGATCTCCAAAAGAAGTAAGAGAAATTTTAGGATAATACATGCTTAACTTGGTAGAAAATGAAATGAAATCCTTTGAAGGTCTCTCTGTCTCTCTTTTTCTCTCTGTCTCTGTCTCTGTCTCTCTCAGACATACACACAAAAAAGCTAAATTAGCTTTTTTTCTTTTGGTACAATATCTCGGCTCAAACTACAGGGATTGTGATTTGTGTATGTATGTGAATATTTTATAGCCTCCAAATAAACATTATTTATTTCCTTTTTTAAATAATGAGTCAGATTCTTGATACAATAATCCCATCATACCACTGCAGGATAACTTTAAAATAAATTTTCAAAGTACTAAGTTCTCAACTGTTCAAGAAGGCACTTCTTAAATGCCACATTTAAGATGAGAGAATTTAGTCCAAAATATATTTCATACCTGGGGGATTGAGTTAATTGAAGATTTATGGAAAACAGCTATGTTTCCATTCAGCCATAATATTCCCTGAACTTTCATCTAATCAGTCAGAGAATAAATAATAGAGCTAAAAGCAAGTTAAAGAGAACTGATGTCTGATTTAATGTAACTGAATGAATAAGATGTCTAGTGAATAATACATCTAACAGTATAGTAACATGTTCAATTAAAAGATTACAGGATCTGAATGCTATTATTGTACTTTTTATCCCTTTTATAGCATAATGTTAAAATGAAATCCTTTTGCTTTTTAGTTTTAAATTCTTAATCTTCTACTTAGTCATCTCTTGCTACAAGGGATTGCCTAGCATCCTTCTGTGAACAAAATTTGATTTGTTTGACGGTAACAGTCAAATTGGAGCAACTGTTCAAAGTAAAAGAACTTTAATTCCTTGTCATAGCCCTTTACAGGATATAATCTCAGATTTATTTACCATTGTCATTCTTCTGGAGATCCTCTTATTTTCATTCATGCTACCCAGAACTGAAGAGTGTGGTCAATTTTAAACATTAAAGATATACACGCTAAATTAAATCAAGAAGCAAGTAAATAAATAAATGATTAGTATAATCCTGACCAGTGAAAAACATTTTATTTGTACATTTTATCATCTTATTTAATCTATTTTTAATTTGAGCCTCATTAAATAATTAAACATGTTAACCTTCTTCAAAATGGTACAAATTTACACTGCAAGATCATAATTAAACAGGTATCGTTGTCTCCATTTTAAAGGTAACAAAACAGAGACCTAAAAGATCCAATGATTTGCTTAAACGTCCTATGCACATCCTAACCCTCTTCAACATAATTCTGGCAGGTTAATAAAGTAGAAGGTCTTTTCTAATACACAGACGTTTACAGGACATCCAAGCAAACCGTGTACTCATCAAGGCCAATGTTTTTCTCTTGCAAAATGGAGATGCCAATTTCTACCTCATAAAGAAAATAGGCTAGTGCATGTCACATGGAGGGCAAATGAGATCCATCCTTAGCATTCATTATATTTGTGACTAGCATTTCCTTGTACAAAAGAACATGCAAAACCATGATTTTCATGGATAAAATATGCTCCTTGTTCCATGGCTTCATTTCACGGGGGAAAAAAATGTTTAAAAAAAAGTTGTATGAAAATATTATCCTAGCCTAATTATTTTGAGTGTGACATTTAAAAAAATAGAAAATTTGTGAAAGGTTGAATGTTCAACATGCTGGTTGGTGCCTTAAAAAATTTTTCATGGAGACTTTTAGTAGGTTTGGAAAAATGGGAGATTTCATTAAAATATCAAATTAAAGGGTTTTTGTTAATACACTGATACCTAAAGAGCAGGGCCTCTCCCCTTACATGTCCACATTTTCACTTACTTTCTACACTTCACTTCTACCACTGTACGACACATCCATAGCTCAAAATCTTACCTTTTATCTCACCTTTGTCAAACTTCTGGATATTTTCTGTCTTATTGGAGTCCTGGAAGTTTAGATCTGCATAAGTAACTTCTTCAGACATTGATGGCTATGAAAGAAAACTCAACAAACGGTAAAATGCGGAGAAAGACAAATACCAAATGATTTCACTCAAATGTGGAGTATAAGAACAAAGAAAAAGTGAATGAACGAAACAGCAGTAGAAGCAAAGAACCCAAGAAAGGGCTAACAGTTACCAAGGGGAAAGGGACTGGGGAGAATGGGACGGTAGGGAGGGATAAGGGTGGGGAAGAAGAAAGGGGATATTATGATTAGCATGTATAATGTGGGGGGTGGGGGAAAGGGGAGGGCTTTGCAACACAGGGAAGACAAGTAGTGATTCTACAACATCTTACTATGCTGATGGACAGTGACTGTAATGGGGTTTGTGGGGGGGACTTGGGGTAGGGCAGAGCCTAGTAAACATAATGTTCTTCAAAAAATAAAAAATAAAAATAATGAATCAGATTCTTGATATAATAATCCCATCATACTACTACAGGATAACTTTAAAATAAATTGTCAAAGTACTGAGTTCTCAACTGTTCAAATGAAGAAGTCCCTTCTTAAATGCCACATTTAAGTTGAGAGAATTTAGTCCAAAACATATTTCATACCTATGGGACTGAGTTAATTGAAGATTTATGTAAAACAGCTATATTCCCATTCAGTCATAATATTCCCTGAACTTTCATCTAATCAGTCAGAGAATAAATAATAGACCTAAAAGCACGTTAAAGAGAACTGATATCTCATTTAAAGTAACTGAATGAATAAAATGTCTAGTGAATAATGTATCTAACAGTATGGTAACATGTTCAGTTAAAAGATTACAGGATCTGAATGCTATTATTGTACTTTTTATCCCTTGTTATAGTATAATGTTAAAATGACATCCTTTTACTTTTTAGTTTTAAATTCTGAATCTTCTACTTAGTCATCTCTTGCTACAGGGGATTGCCTAACATCCTTCTATGAACAAAATTTGATTTGTTTGATGGTAACAGTCAAATTGGAGCAACTGCTCAAAGTAAAAGAACTTTAGTTCCTTGTCATAGCCCTTTACAGGATATAATCTCAGATTTATTTACCATTGTCATTCTTCTTAAGATCCTCTTATTTTCATTCATGCTACCCAGAACTGAAGAGTGTGGTCAATTTTAAACATTAAAGATATACACACTAAATTAAATCAAGAAACAAGTAAATAAATAAATGATTAGTGCAATCCTGACCAGTGAAAAACATTTTATTGGTGCATTTTCTCATCTTATTTAATCAATCTTTAATTTGAGCCTCATTAAATAATTAAACGTGTTAGCCTTCTTCAAAATGGTACAAATTTATGCTGCAAGATCATAATTAAACGGGTATCATTGTCTCCATTTTAAAGGTAACAAAACGGAGACCTAAAAGATCCAATGATTTGCTTAAACGTCCTATGCACATCCAAACCCTCTTCAACATAATTCTGGCAGGTTAAGTAGAAGGTCTTTTCTAATACACAGACGTTTACAGGACATCCAAGCAAACCGTGTACTCATCAAGGCCAATGTTTTTTTACTTGCAAAATAGAGAGGCCAATTTCTACCTCATAAAGAAAATAGGCTAGTGCATGTCACATAGAGGGCAAATGAGATCCATCCTTAGCATTCATTATATTTGTGACTAGCATTTTCTTGTACAAAAGAACATGCAAAACCATGATTTTCAGGGATAAAATATGCTCCTTGTTCCATGGCTTCATTTCCTGGGGGGAAAAAATGTTTAAAAAAAAGTCGCATGAAAATATTATCCTAGCCTAATTATTTTGAGTGTGACATTTAAAAAAATAGAAAATTTGTGAAAGGTTGAATCTTCAACATGCTGGTTGGTGCCTTAGAAAATTTTCATGGAGACTTTTAGTAGGTTTGGAAAAATGGGAGATTTCATTAAAATATCAAATTAAAGGGTTTTTGTTAATACACTGATACCTAAAGAGCAGGGCCTCTCCCCTTACATGTCCACATTTTCACTTACTTTCTACACTTCACTTCTACCACTGTATGACACATCCATAGCTCAAAATCTTACCTTTTATCTCACCTTTGTCAAATTTCTGGATATTTTCTGTCTTATTGGAGTCCTGGAAGTTTAGATCTGCATAAGTAACTTCTTCAGACATTGATGGCTATGAAAGAAAGCTCAACAAACGGTAAAAGAAGAAGGAAAGATAAGGGTGAGCCAGAAGAGTTGTTGGCTGAACAGGAGTTGGTTTTTAAACTTCTGCTTTTAACCCAAAAATGAAATCCGTAAGCTTCAGCTTCTGTTTTCATAACCACTGTGCCAATCATGCACATGTCTGCAATGAGCCACCGACCAGGCAAGAAGAGACAGATATTGCAAGAGTCGCGTCTGTCTTCCTCCTCTCTCCCCTTAGTTCTCTTTCTCTGTAACTACCAACTGCAGAAAGTAGTTGGAAGATTGTCTGGGGTATTATTAAAATCACTCAAGGGGGGACAGATCTTTAGCACCACATGATACAGGTAGAACAGAATTGTTTGGAGAAAAACTTTCAAGCAGAGGAACAACAGAAGATATATTCCTCAAACACTCACTGTCTGTGCGATATTGGTCCTTGGTTACATTACGGAAGGCTATTTAATCAGTTAATCACTTACGGAAGGAAGAGTATACAATGAATTGTCGGGGGTAACAAATAAATTAAAAAGTCCTTTATACAATGTCATCTTACTTGATGAAAGTATTTGAATGACTGAAACTTCATACCCAATTCTTTGGTTTAGAGCTGGCCAGATGCAGCTCCAGAAGGAGGGGCTCCCCACCTGGGGCAAATTCCCTATGAATTTGATGAGACCAAAGAAAAGCAAGCAAAAGCAGCAGGGAATCAAAGAGGCTTATTCTCACGGCCCAGGATGTCCTCGCTTGCACCAGCCGAGACCCCCTCGCGCACGGCTCACAAGCTGCTGGCTCACAAGCTCTCCTCCTCATGCCCGGAGGAACTCAGTGGGTGGGGACCTGGTGACTGGCGGGCACCTGACCAATTATGTACCAGGAATGGAAGGGAGGAGAGAATGGGTGCTTCCTCACAACCCCTACCCTGGACCTGCAATCCGGTGACTGACCAGCCGCTCTGACCCCATTAAAACATCCCATAGATGTGCACACAGGATACCTATTAAGGCCAGGTGGGACTCCTGGTCAGATGGTTCCATGTTCCCTCCAGTCCATCCTTCTAGGATTCTCGCCTCGCTATCTGCACACCCACGATGTTCTGCGATGGCCTTTGTGCAAGAAAGCCAGAGCACTGCAACCACATTCCACAGTGTAAAGAGAGCGACAAAACCATGACAATCTTCAAGCCTGAGGATCCAGCTGCATTCAAGGCCCTACTCAGATTGAGGCCACAGCGCACACTTTCCACTGGAGGCCAGCAGCCGAGCAAGCAGGGAGCTCTGGGCATGCTCAGCAGGCAGCAGCTGTAGCTACGGGGTGGACCCAATCCGCAAAGACTGTAGAAGAGATTAACCTTCAGGGTGATAAGACACATTTTCTAATGACACCAACACAGGCAAATTTTGTCCATCAGGTAGGATACATGCAAGAGAGTGGGCCTGTGATAGGACAATGGCAGGAATGGGGTCCTGGTCTAGTGGGCAAGACCTTCACCCCTCTCCCTGTGGGAGTTACTGATGGATCAATATGTAGGGCTACTGGAGGTGCGTACATTGGCCATAATGATAAAACAAAACTCTCCGCTAAGATACCCTTACCTTCTGCTGGCTGTTGTGGGTACCTACTGTCATCTTTGTGTACCACTCTGCTATTACTACAGGAACACACAGGAGGCCAGCTTCCAGGCCTTGTCCCCAAGGTGCCAGAAGGGCCAGCCATCGCTGGTTCGTGTGTCAAAATGTTCAAGGTCAGGTAGTCTCCATGCTGCTGTGGGACTCAGTCGTGCACTTCTGCCAGGGTTCTGCTGACTTTTCTACAGGTCAAAAGCAGTCCCCACAGATGGGCTACAGCCCACACTCTCTTCTGCCCCAAGACAGGCTGTCCTGCCAGCCAGTGCACCTGGACCAAGGCTTCTGCTTCATCAATCCCTGGGGATGCCAACAACAAATGCCTGCAAGCCACTTTCAGAGGCTCTAGTCACAGCTGTCTTCAGTCACATGGACATCCAGCTCACAGGGCCTGATGGGTCTAGCTCACTCAAGGCCTCCATGGCCTTAATTGTCCACTTTGCAAAGGCAAAGGTAAATGCACACATTTCATCCCAGCCCCACCTAATGCTCTTTCATACCAAACGGCATAAGGGCCTTAGAATTTGTGCCAAGGGTGGGATAAACACTCTTCAATGGCCTACTAGACCCAAAACTCTTGCAATAATGCCACATTTATCTGTAAGAGAATCAGAGGTAAGCATAGCATCACACACAGTACTAGATGTTCTATTCCCAATGGGATTTGGGCTTGTCCCACTCTGACAGCCCCACCCCTACATCCATCTATGACAGTGGGGGTCTGAGGAAAACACTCAGAGTGGCAATAAATCAGGTAGCATTCAGCTCCTGTGTCCACCAGAGCCAGGACACACTGCACATTCACTGGGGACTGATTAATTGATTGACATGTGACCTCTGGTGCCAGAGGCCCAAGCCAGTTCCCCAAGGCAGGGACCTTGACACTCCCCTCAGTCAAACCATAACACCCAATTGCCCAATCACCATCTGGCAAGGGTCTAGGTGGGGTCTGTATACCCTCCCCCAGGAAGTCCTGCAGACACACGGGCTGGACATGTGACTTTGCCTGCAACTTCCTTTTCTTGGACCTCAGTGGCTAGAACTGCTGCTCTGGCTTTAATTGTTGCCACAGCTCTAGCAAGATTTTATTGGGCTGCCCATCTACTTTGTCTTTTACTGCCTCCGCCTTTATCAAATCGGCCTACATCTGGGTCCTCAAGACCCTCACAGGACTTTAAAACTTTTTGCTTAGTAGCAGACCATATTTCCTTGTGTTCTCAGTGTTTCAACCTCTCCCTGATCTGCTACAGGACCAGTAACCTCACTTACG